CCTTGTATCTCCCTGTCAGTATCATTCTTCTGAACCCTAGATTTATATATCTGACTCCTGATGGACATTTTTACCAGAACAGTCCACAGTACTTCAAGCTAGAAATAAACTTAAGCACTTTTTAAACGACCTTCTCACCACCACCACAAAATCATATACCATCATCTCTGCAGCTCCATTACTGTCATTCTAGACTAATCTTTCTCCAGGTTCTTTCATTTTTATCTCCTGTTTTATTTAAATTAATCTGTTCTCCATACTTGTCAGTGCCAATGTCAGATCCTGTTACTGCTCAGCTGGGCTCCTTCAGTAGCCTCCTAATTAGTCATGGGAACTTCTTCAAACACAGGGACTCTTTTTACTTAAAAACTCATCTTCAACAGCTATTTTTTACCTTGCAGACAGAATGTAAACTCATTTGCCCAGCACATCCAGCCTCTCATGACCTGGCCCAAACCTGCCTCCCCAGCTTTATGTCCTGTAACTGGGCCATGCATGCCATTCCATCCAACCAGACCAGGCGCTTGCAGCTCTCCAAACAGTCCATGCTACTAACTTGCTGTTCCCACAGTCTAGAATCCTCTCTCCACCCCTTCACCACTGAGCTAATTCCTACTCAAACTTCAAATACTGGCCCACACACCTATTGTGCTCATCAAGTTTACTTACTTGTTAGTCTCTCCCACCATGCTCCTTGAGGACAGAGACTGTCTTTCATTTACCGAATAAAGTGCATAGCACCTAGAAGTTATTGATGTCTTTTGAATTAAGTTCCCAAAGTGACATTTCTACCTTTTCACCATTCCACCTGTCCTCCCCAAAACAACCTTCCTCTCTTCTGCCTCCAGCTGCCCCTGGGTTTACCCGTCCTCCACTCTGTGCAGAAGAAGCTGCCTTACGTCGAGCCCTGGAACATGCAGATGGTGATCACAGTACTCTGATCCAGGTGTATGAAGCCTTTATACAGAGTGAGTGGCCTAGTCTGCATCCTCTGATAGAATCCCAGATTTTCCAAAGGGGAAGTGGTGTGCAACCAGCTGACAGATCTCTATGCCCAGGAAGAGGAGGCCCTTTGGCCAAGGGTTGAGTTCTTTGGGAATCTCAAGGACTTTAGTTGTAGCTGGTCCCTTTCCTTTCCTAGGTGGAGAAGACAAGGCTTGGTGCCAGGCTCGGGGTCTAAACTGGGCAGCACTGTGCCAAGCCCAGAAACTTCGAGGAGAACTCCTAGAACTTATGCAACGAATTGAACTTCCCTTGTCCCAACCAGCCTTTGGTTCTGAGAAGAATCGCAGAGACCTTCAGAAAGCACTGGTGTCTGGATACTTCCTTAAGGTTAGAGGAAAGAGTTGGGGGTCATAAAAGGAGCAGAAGTCAGAGAGACCAAAGACTGGTATGGCATCTCTGAAACTGGGGTCCAGATGGCCAAAGGATTCTTTATAATCAGGAGAAACTTCCTTTGAGGCTTTGGGCTACAAGGAGCTATGGGAATGCCATATGGTATGGTAGGGACTATAACATCTAGAGGTAATGCTTTACTTTTAATACTCTCACTACCCTTACTAATTCTTTCTCAGCCCCCCTAATTTTTTTCTACAGTCTGCCTCTTCTTGCTAACTTATTCCTTCAATGTCTTTGCCTTTCAATGAGGTGGCCCAAGACACAGATGGGACTGGAAATTACCTGCTCCTAACCCACAAGCATGTGGCCCAGCTCTCCCCATACTGCTGCTACCGAAGCCGCCGGGCTCCAGCCAGGCCCCCACCATGGGTGCTTTACCACAATTTCTCTGTTTCCAAAGACAACTGCCTTTCCATTGTTTCTGAGATTCAGCCACAAATGTGAGTGCCATGACACCCCCTCCTACACTGCCCATTCCTCTTCCTGGGGCCAAAATTATGGCTGGGGAGTTAGAAAGTCTTAAGAAGAAGAGGGGATCATAGTGGCTTATAGTAACATGATTTGAGAAGACAGGGTTTGTGGAAGGGATAGTAAGAAGTTTTAAAATCTTCATTATGAGAGAGTATACAGAAATCATCTAATTATGACTCTCTCTATCAGGCTGGTGGAATTAGCCCCTCCATACTTCCTGAGTAACCTGCCTCCCAGTGAAAGCAGAGACTTCCTGAACCAGCTGAGGGAAGAAATGGCAGATTCTTCAACAGAGAGTGAATCTTCCTCCACCCAAGAGTTTGCACATGCCTGTGTCCTGCAGTGACCTGCCTAAGGAATGGAGCAGAACTCATCTCATTGCATACAGTCCTCCCTTAGTGTAGCACCAAGGCAGCCAGCCATATTTAAAAGCCAAAAGTTTAGGGTTGAATATAAATTTTGGACCCTGGGTCTCAAGAAGTGGTGGGCTGGGAGTGAAGGGAATTGAGTAAGCCACAATCTACATAGGGTAGGACTCTTCCCTTAGCCGCCTTCTATTTATTGGAGAGGGACTGACAACCCCAACGGAAGCCAAACCTATCCTTGTGCTTCCTTTCGAGCTATAAAAGTTCTTTTTCTATGGTGCCAAATTTGAGTTTGGTTGTCCAGCAGCACATACAACAATCATGAGTTAAAGATGACACAATATCAAAGACTCAGGGCCAGCTCCCCTAGCGATATCCCCTTGCCAGGTTCCCACCTCTGGGCAAGACTTTGTGCTATGGCTGGCCTCGCTGGCCTAGCTGTCGCCAACACAGAACACCAGTATGCCTCTGAAGCTTACTTTCCTCTATTACACTGCTCCTCCTACCTTGAAGGAAGAACAGGGGTGCTATGGGAATCAGACAAAAATCTCCCCTTTCATCGTCCTACAACGTAAATCCTGCGCCTTCTTAAACCTCGAGGCTATTGCAACCACCCCCAAACTTTCAACTTCCTATCAGAAAGCTTCCCAGCAGCCCCTGGCCCTCCCCCAAGCTAAGGTCTTTCTAACAGCTTCAGGGACATGCGCTTTCCTTTCTTTCCTGCGAGGTTCTCCTTCCCTTCTTCTTCCCTTGGACTGCTGACTTTGACACCCTCCATATCCCGCGCAATGTAAATGTGTCCGTAGAATTTGGTGGGGGAAAGGTTTAATCCTCAGAGCTCTGCTTTTGTCTTCAGAGCTGCCTCCTCGGGAGACCCTGTCGTCACCCCACCTACCTGCGCCTCTGTGCGGCTGTGTACTGACCCCGCAAAGGCACTGGGGCAGAATTTACTCCCGCTAGGCCGGGCATTTCGTTCCCTCGGTAGAGTTCTCCTCGCCCCTGTGGTCCCAGTTTCCCCTTCCTCCCCCGCCGCGCCCTTGCTTTCCCGATCCTCCGCATTTCCCACCTTGAATGTATCTTTGCCTCTTCTTAGATCTGTTACTTCCTAACTGTTCGCGAGGCTCTGCTCACCCTAACTCCGCCGGGCCGCGTAGCCGCGCCGCCTGCCTCCCCCTCCCCCTGTCCCGCGGTGTTAGAGGGCCCAGGTTTTCTCCTTCATTAAGTGGAAGATGAAGGAGCCGCCCCCGCCGCCCGCGTGCGCGGCGCTGGCCGAGGGTGTATTCAGCCGTCTGGACGCGCGCGGACCACATAAGGCTCAACGGGAAGAATCCTCAGCGATTATTTGACAGTGAAGGGTGAGGCGCCCCGCGTGGATAACCCCGTCCCTGTCACAGTCAAGCTCGTTCACCAGCACCGCTCCCAGGACACCGCTGTCGCCGGCGTCTTCCTTCCATCACACCTTCGGGGCGACCCGGCGGGCGCGGGCGGCCCCCTCGCAGCCCCTTTCGCGGGCTCGGGCTCCCCGGAGTCCCTCCTGAAGCAACTCCATTGGCCGGCCCGCCCCCTCTCCGAACCTCATTGGCTACTGTACTGCAGGTCCCGCCCTCTCCACACCTCAGGTTCCAGCCGCCGTGAGACACGCCGAGTGGAAAACGGCGGGAAAGGCCAC